GTGATGCGAAAATGTTCCAAAGAGCTTCTTACGATGTCAAGAATGTTTGCCTTTCTGAGTCTGTAAGTGCCCTTTAGTTAACGGAAATAAAAATATAAACTAGACTTCAGAAAAATAAAAAGTAACTGAAACGATATTGTGTAGTTATAGAATTGACTGAAACAAAACCATACAGGAAATGTCTTTAGTTTTCATTTTTGTCAGTTTGGTCAAATTTGTCAGAAAGCATGAGAAGGCATTGGTGCGCGTATATCGAGACAGGGATGTCTAAATGACAAATCAACTGCCTTCACAAAGTGTTTCCGTTGTAAAACCCAATAGTATTGTTCTGAACTTGGTAAATCTTGCCCTTGACAAATATTAAATCAAATCAAGTTTATTGTCATTTTGCTGTACATACACAGCAGTACAGGCAAGATGAGAGAGCGTTTCTTCAGGATCATTTAATTAGTAAGTTTTGCGGAATGCACGTCTACACTAAACATTGGCTCTCGCTGTCTCCTGAAGGGGCCGCTGCGTCCATATCGTAATAGTTATACAATATCCTAAAACCTAAACAGTTTCCATCAATAATAACTAAACGGAAACAAAACTCAATTGAAAACAAAAATTTAAAAACTAATCATGAAAATTGAAAACTATAATCCATTGATTCAGAGTCGTAAAAACAGACTTAAATATTCCCACCACCATGTTTTACTGTGGTGTTGACACACTGCAGTACCATTGTCTCTCCTGTTTGTCTCCTCATATAAACCCTTCTCTATCATCCTTTGTAAAATACAAAGGACTTGTATATACCAGAATGCTGGTGTGTCTTAACCCACCTCGAGCATTTGGCCTCATTTCCCCTCCTGAGAAGTGGTTTACAGACACTAATCCTCTGAGACCAATATTCGACAGCCTTCTTTTGACAGGACTTTTGCTGATTTTTGCTGACTGCCCCCATAGAAACCTTCAGTCTAGCCGTGCTTTGACACTGAGAAAGCCCCTGTGATTAGAATAAAAATCTGACTTCTGACACATCTTTCACTTAGTTGTGATGCCATGTTTTTCACTATCACTGTGCTACTTTGTAAGCAATATTATGCTGGAAACATGAGGCACAGCCACATTTAAAAGAGGTGAGCCGTGGCTTCAGTCGATTTTCTCGAACAAAGCCTCTGAACTGATATACTGAACCTTAAACATGTCGTCTTCATTTTAAAAGTAAGAAGACCCTCTGTTTCTACATCTTCAAACTTCGTGATTATTTCCTGGTTTACATGAAAATACGACAGATGTTCAGTGTTGTCTCAGACGTTATTGTGTTGCTGCACATCTCATTGTCTTGCTACTTTTCAGGTCTTTCCAAAGCAGAGACTCAGGCCCTGACAAACTACGGCAGTGGCGAGGATGAGAACGAGGAGGAGGAAATAGAAGAGTTTGAAGCTGGACCTGTAGATGTCCAGACGTCGTTGCAGGCTTCTGCTGATGGACAGCCGGAACAGGAGGTCAGAGCCACAGTCAGCCACAAAAATGTGTTTTTCCATGCAGCTTACATTATTGCACACCTTCCTCTGAGTCTGACTCACATAACTGTTGTTCTTCAGGGGACAACGGCCACTGAAAGCCAGGAGATCAAAACAGAACAGAGGAGTCCAGAGAATGATGACGGTGAGGCCTTCTTGATATTTTTTAGTGAT